TTAACTTTCATGACCAACAAACCCAGCCTCTGCCTAAAGATTCCGAAGGCAAGGAACCCTTATTTCAGGGTTAATGGAAAATACACACAGAAATAAGTTCCCCTCACACATGAGGAGGACAGCAGATTTACACGTGGGCCTTCTGGGGATACTTGGTGCAATGCTGCATATATGCACCCTGCCATGAAACCAGTGCTTTTGTTATAGCTGGACTTCCCATTCTGACAAGGAAGTACATTTTCAGCAAGGTGCACATCCAAATGCTAACAGCTATGACCTGGGCTTTTGCAGCTCGAAAACAGCCCTCGGGCGCAAACCCTACTTTTGGGGTAGTGAATCACTTAACCTAAGAGCTCACTAGTAGTGCAGTGAAATGCATGTTCTATCTGTCTACACCACATCCACACGTAAAGAGCTTATGGAGAGAAGCAAGCTTTATCATTATCTATAGATGCTCTATTGTCTTGTAACAATTGTGTTGTCTATTTTATGGACCATACCAGAATCTCCATGAAGACGAACTAAAGCTTCAGCTCAAAATGAGCTTCTAGGTGGATGTTCCAAAATGCTTGAAATTCCAGGTTTAGGCATGGATATCAGAAAACTGATAAAGTGACTAAATTGAGGTTTGTAAGTACTTACACAGGTAAAAGGCTCTCTGATGCAACACACAAAAGCAGGATAAAATCCCCGGCAAACTATCCCTGGGGCAGAGTCTCATTTGCGGTGAAATATTACACATTTCCTACAAAGGTGACAAAAATGAAGGCACTGAAAGAGGTGTAATGAGAAGACTCTTCTAACAAACACCACCAGCTGCAGACTAACAACTCCTCAATGGAAAGGAATGCTACAATTTAAGGCTTTTTTTTCTAAATAGTAATTTAAGAAATAGCTAAATCCTAATTTATTCCAAACTTGAGGGTGACTGGCTTTGTACTAGGGTTGCTCTGGATCTGTGGAGCCTGTGAACAAGTGTTTTGAAACAGCACTATAATCAGGGGGGACAGCTCACATCTGGGGAAGAAGTGACAAGGAATCTGCAGAGAATAAGTTATTCCATGAGCACCAGAGCCAACTACATCTGGTTTCCACTGGACTTATATCTTCTTGTTGGTTGACTTTTAACTGAATATGTGTGAGCTCACCCTAATTAAACATCCAGTAGGTATTAGAGAAAAATCTTCTTTAGCTCCTTGTTTGAAAACAGATAATTCACATACAAAAAAAAAAAGAAGCCTTAGTGGAGGAGGAGACACTCTAATGATTGAAACAGCAAAAACTCCAAAAGAGGCTTCTTTTTTTTCTAAGCAGTTAGGTATTCACAAAGTGCTATGCCATGTAGATTTTTCACTTTAGTAACAATTTAAGTGATACTTATTTTTCCACTCCCTCCAGTGAAAATAGGGTATTTGCTTTCCAGGAGAGCTTTTTCATTACTTATTAAGAATTTAATATGATTAAGAACTTTATTCACAAACATGTCTGGCTCAAAAAGGAAAGACTGGTAAAGATACTTACATAAACCTCATTTCCTTAGGAAATCAGGATTCAAATAATTCAGATATGGAGAGAGATGAAATAACCTGAGGGAATGGGTACATTTGGAATTCACAGTGGTTTCCCTGTTGATTAGTGAATCTTATTTCAACATTCCTCACAGTGGAAGAGCCAGTGTCCTGGGAAAACCCATATATTATTTCTGTGATTACCACACCACCATCTACTCCTTAAGGAGCCTGTAATCCCGGTGAACAATGGAAGGAGGAAATAAACCAGGCAATTCTGACAGTGTTGCAGTTATGATACAGATTTCTGTGCATGTTCAGGACATGTAGCTTAATCTCTGAGCTCAGATTTCCAGATCTCCATGCTAATGCTTTAAGCACAGAACAGCTTTTTTTTTTTTTCCTCCTGGACACGCTCAGAGGTATGTGAACTCTTCCATGTGAGTAATCTCAGCAGGGAAAGGTGATACATCTGTGCTGTGGAACATGGTATCTGACAGACTGCCAGCAAACTCAGCACTGGGGATTCTGGATGTCATTTATAAAAAGGAATTTAAGCTGCTTGACAGAGTTCCAGATTTTTCTTACTGTGGACTGCAACAAGATAGAGACTAAGCAAAGACACTGCTATGTAGAAATCAGGAATGGCGGGTAAAAGATAAAAACAGAGTCACTCTTTGAATGCTCAAAACAGTGCACAGTCCACTACATTGATAATGACATTGAAAAAGCATTGGTAAGAAAATTTTTCTATATTCACTTTTTAATTTAAGGAACTATTAATAGAATAAATTTAAGGTTTTATTATGGGAATTTTCAGAAAGCATCAATGTGCTTTTTTTTTTGTTTGTTTTTTTTTTGCATGACAACTCCTGAGATCTATTTTAGAGAATGACTCAACTTTGTGATCAAGTGATAGTGTGCTTTCTAAATGTTGCCATTCTCTTAAAGTAAAAGCTTTCTTGAGTATAGATTCCATGCCACTTAACATTTCCACTAAACTTGGTTCTTTCTTTTTCCCTGGGTCACAAGTGGTTTTGTTTCTTTTAAAAAGAGTACAACTGATAAATCTGCTATGAAACTATAAAGTCTACTAGAAAGTTTTCCATCGCTTTCAAAGAGATGCCTATCAGGCCCTGTTTGATTACAAGGCAAAATGTACTTTGCTATTTACACAAAAGAATATAAAGTTACTAACCAGCAGAAAAGAATGGAAAACAATTTTCCTCTCCTGCCTTTTATACACTCAGAGATGCGTAAAAAGGAGAGGAATAAGGAAGGTGTTATTTCATTCTGAATGGAAAAAAGCAGAATTAACTCAGGGTGGCTTCACTAATTATCTGCTGCAAAAGGAGTGGAAATTATATAGCCCTAGGAGCTTTCCAAGGCACAAGGCCTAGAAGAAAAAAATTAGAGTTCATTAGCCAGCCCCGTAAGCTGGAACTAACAATCAGTTAGCTGGGACTCTAAATTTAATGCTAATTACTTATTTTGTTGCTTTTGTATTTTATCACTTAAATGGCATATGCTTAACCTGTTTTAAAGTAAACATCCCCTAAAAATTTTATCTTGTGGCTTAAATGGCTCCTAAATGAACTATCCCAGCACAGTACATCCCAAATTCGTCAGGCAGCTGGAGGGGGAGTAAAATCCCCCCTTCCAATCCTCTGCAGCCTGATAGATACAAGGTATAAGGAAGAGAAAAAGGCAACTCAGTATCTCTGTTCAAAGCTTCACCAGCAGTTTTAGAAATTACAAACAGTACCCGACATTAGGTTGGAACTGCTTGTTGGGTAATGGGGGGGAAACTTACCAAGAATTACAAACACAATCCAAATGGCATGAAAACACCCGTGCAGTGCCCTCATCTTTACCCATGATAGTATAACCTGCTTCCCAGGGTATGAAGCAAGTGCAAAAGCAGTCCTCTTTTCCAGTATTGCTGTTGTGATTACAAGCAAGAAAGTAAGTATTACAAAATAGTATCAATTAGATAGACCGCATGCAGGAATTTAAAAATGATAGCTTTCATAGCATAAGGAGCAAGGAATATTCAAGGAAGTCACACTTCCTCCTAGCCCTGTTTCAGGGTACTTTCACTTCTTCTCCCATGAGAAATGGCTTCACTACTTACTATGGTTTTATGCAGAATGAACCAAATGAAAATAAATAAATAAATAAATATATATATGAAGGATAATAGATATTCAAATGCTATCTTCTGGCCCTTAAATCTGTTACTTTGTAATGGGGAAGACTGAAATCAGACAGTTGGCCCTACTAGGACCACCAGTGGAGACTGCAGAGCAGAAATGAAGAAAGTCCTTTATCTGCTTTTTCCATTTCTGAAGCTGCACTGGCCATCTTCCATCACATTAGTAACAGGAAAAAGGGACGTCATGTTGCACTTCCTCCACCCTTCTATTCCCAATCTTCAGGGAGGATGCTCTGCTACTGGGAATTCACAAATCAGTTTTAGAAACCTGCCATCCCAAAGAGCTTAACCCCACAATTTTCTATTTTCACCTCATTTGTGTCTGGAAAAGGAGGACGATTCAGATACCCTCTATATCTAGAGATGTTTTCCATGCAGTGTGTCAAAAATTCTCTAGGGTCCCAATCCTCCTTGACACAAATAACTTCCATAGGTACAGAAGGAAGTTGATGCACATTTTCTGTCTGTTCTACACAATCCTTGCAACAGCTGCTGTTTTTCAGTGGAAACAAAAAGCTATTAGGTGTCTCTTAGTAAAATAGGGAAATCCCAGAGACAATCTTTAACAAGATACATTAGACAGTTAATCATGCTCTCTGAAAGCTATATAGGTAAATATATGCAGAACAACAGGCTGAACATTTGATCCTCACTCTGTGCATCTGCTTTTACACATTTTAGGGAAAACTTTTGAAAAAAAAAACCAACCAATAAACCCAACTATGTGAGTCAGCCTTGAATCCTTTCTACCTTCCTAGGGCAGTACCCTGATTTCGAATCTGTTTTTACTCAGCTTTTGAGGATCCTAAAGAAATTACAATATTATAGTGCCACTGCACAATATGGAGTCAACACTGTGGCACCTTGTCCAGCCATGAGGATAACTAGTGGCAAGTTATTTGTAAACTTGGTGAACTCAGTTAAATGCTCTAACACAAGCTCTTTCTTTGCAGTCACACTTAAGACATGTTATTTCTAATAGTGATGTGTTCTGAGACAACGTTTTACATGAAGACATAAGTTTTTTGGCCCCACCTGAAACAGCTGGATGCCCTTGATAAATAAGGTCTTCCTACTCCTGATTCAGGACAAGTGCCACCTACTGACAACAAGAACTGGCTTTATTGGCTTTGCTTTGTCAAGAATTCTAACCGATGCTGCTGCTGTTTCAGGCAGCTTTGCTTCAAGTCCAGATGGTGGAAATAGACCTTAAAAAAAAGAAGCTGCACTTTAAAAAAATCTGGAATGGTACATGCCAGATTTTCATTAAAACCCACCTGCCCATGGTGTTACTGACTGATGAAGAATTCCCTAGCACCACCAATCAACAGTCACTTTCCCAACCTTTTCTGCAAATAAAAAATAAGCAAATTAGACAAAAAACCTCACCCTTTATGAACAGTTAAGTATGAAATTCAAAAGGTGAATTAGAAACAAGAAATCAAACAAAAGAGACAAAAATCAGTGGAAATAAGTCTAAACCTGGACAAAGACAACAAACCTATATATATATATATAGGAAACTGAGTATTGGAGGATGAATAAAGATACCACTGCAGTGTAAAAAGTCAGTTGCATGGCTTCATCAAAAAGTCTTCTGGAAAAGATTTACTATAAATTACACCTCTTCTCTATACACAAGCTTCAGAAATGAAGTATAGGATTTCAAGAGACATTTTCTCTTTCTTTTTTTTTTGTCAGGTCTAGAGTCATTAAACAGAGATTAGCTGGATAAATAGAGGAAGTGATTTTTAAACTGTTTGCAAACTTAATGTGAAGAGCCCAGCCTTGCAAATTATCACGTCTAATCAGAGATGCACGCTTCACTGCTCCAGTAATTGTACTAGTATTAGTCAAATTCTTGTTGTCTCCTCATTAACCATGAAAAGGAGACTCAAGATGTACTTCATTAGAGTATCCTGAATATAAATTGTTAGTGTAAGGGGGAAGAGATGTGTGACGTACTGTATATAGAAAGGGAAATATTAAGAACATAAAACATATTGAATCATTCGGGTGGTACACTGAATATATGACTTTCACAACCAAACCTCTCTTCTCTCTTTTCATTTTTACTGTCTCCATTCCCTCTTTTATTTGCAGTGAGACTACAGTACTTGAAAACATACTTTATAACCAATGCCATTAAAAAACAAAGAAAGAAATGTGGTGTATTTTGCAGCCGTTCCTATTTCCACAGCCAGAATGCTATGGCTTAATCAGGAACTGCGTCTTTAGTAGAGACATTAGGTAAATCATTGCCTACTGGATAACAAGTAGAGGTGATCTAACTCACATTAAATGTTGATCAAATCAAAAGGTTTGTTCCTTTGATCATCAAAGGAATGAAATACACACTCCTGCCTTTCTTTATTCGGCAATGCTCTTAAGTTCATGCCTCTAAATCAAGAGAATTTAAATACATGCCTAACATATGAAGCATGTGCTTAAGGGAATTGAGGTTTGAAAAAACCAGCTTGAATTGTATTTCCAAGTTCAACTGGGTCTATTACAAGGGTAGAAGTAAAAACATTTCCAAGAATTTCAGTAGAAGCAGAGGCAAAGCAAATTTTCATATTTACTTTTTTTCATAACTTTTTTTTTTGTGTGAATCTGAGTCTGAAATATTTGTGTTACTCAACAACAGTTAAGGAAAGCTGCAAATGAACTAGGTAGGACACCAAAATGCTACCAAAGAATGCTGTCTGCTCTCTACTTTATCACAGAATAAAAAGAACCAAACAGGAAATACCATGCAAAACTGTGCCCTTTCATCCTTGAACTACAACACCAAATCATCATGAAATCAGATGTGTGAAAATGAAAACCTAAGCCAAGTCTGGTCTAGTACTCCTTTGTGTGGAAGTCTTGGCATAAAGGCAGTGAGAAATTCAATAGGGCAGTCAAGTCCATAATGTATTGTCCAGGAACTCTCTTTAAAGCAAGTAAATGAACTGTATTTCTAGGCCTGAGGTTTGCTCCCCATCCAGTTGCATCCTCTCAGAACACAGCAATATCCTCACTCAACTTCAGCTCTACACCTCAGTACAAGACTAGAATCTTCAGTTTATTATTATTTACTGCAATTTTACCAGTATGCAGGTGCTCATCATGGAAAGGAACCCATTTTCTTGGTCAAGATATCCTGGCCAAAAAAAATAATAATTCTGAAATGCTTCCTGGTGCCTCTTTGAACAATATTAAAACACTTCAGCAACCTTTCATACAGAATTAATTAACATGAAAACCAGCCTTCACAATGCAGCAGAGCCCTAAAGTGGTTTCTGGAATTTAATTAGTCTAACCTTCTTTTCTCTACATTGGTACCACTCTATGAGAAGTGCAGATCATTATTAATTCCTTTGGTGTTCACTATAATAACATTAATCATGATGAACTCTTTTGGTAGTAAAGTGTATGTAATATGTAATTCTGTAATAATTTAGCATTAACTTGAAATTAATTTATAAAATACACTATTTGTCACCACACACTGAACATTTATAATATTCCTCATCATCATTAGTATGAGGATAACTTGCGTTAAAAAATACACTGGGTACAGATTTAGAGATTTCATAAATACATTTGGGAAGTTGAGTGAGAGATGTTAGTGATTATTTATTTATCAACTTTTCCTTTAAAAACTATAGTAGGGTCATTTTAAGAAGTAATAAAAATTATCTGTTGTGAAAAACACCAGCATCCTTTGGTTCAGCACTCATTGAAAAACCTGATTATTCGAAGCAAGAAAATTGTTTCCCAATTTCTTTGGTTTCTCTGGAATTTAAAATAAATCCAGAACTTGTGTATTGCTTGTAAATAATGAATTGTGCGCCAGAGAACTTCACCTGATTATCAAGTTTCTCTCCCTATTAGACTAGCCTAAAAGACATTAAATTTTATCCCATCTCCTTAGACAGGGATCTCTATGATTGCATGAAAAATACCGCACAATTCAATAGATGAGCCCTAGAGCTTGCAAAAAGAAACAAAAAAAAATAGAGAGGAAGATACAAAATTAAAGTGCTTGTCAAGTGACATATCTTGTTGCTACAAATGGCAAAGTGATTAAGTTTAAGATGCTATCAGACACTCAATGTATACAAACATCCTCAGTGAGTGATACTAATGGAAAAACAGTTTTGTCCTTTCCACAAAGGATTTGTTTTTATCACTGGACAATGCAAAATCTCTGTACTAAAATTTCACAAAGGATTCATTTGGATTCCTTTCTTATGTATTTCTAAGGTGCCAATCACTATATTATCTAGACACATTAACAGAGTAGCTGGCTTTTGCTAAATATAGACTCCAAAAGAATTCAAGATCAAAACACTTTCTTACCCAGCCGCAGAAAGCCCTTCTCAGGGCTGGGAAAGGCTTCTCATCACAGCTCTGAGGATCATTCTGGGACAGAGTCTAGATGCAAGGGACACTTGCACTCCGTTTGCAGGGCCCAGAAGCTGACTGGAACACATTTACTCACACAACCTACAGCTATGTATACATTCTGATATTACTTACATTATAGTCTTTGGACTATGTTATAGCTGATATAAACTGTGTGTGCCAGTGAAGCAACAGAACATGCAAGCATATGCTGAGTGGGAATGAATTTAAGTGCATGTTTATACACTTGGCTGAATCAGGCCCCTCATCACCTGGGCAGATCTTCAGTGTATTTTATATCAGAATTACCTCAGTAGAGTTGCCTCCCTTTTAAATTGGTTTCAGAAAAGAGCAAGAATTATGTCCCATAAATTTTAGGTGTATTGACATGTCTTTCCCACCATAAATGAAAAATACTGGGCATGTCTTTTTCTTTATGTAATTACTTTTCCATAATACTATATATTGGTTGTGAAAAATGGTTATTTAAACAATTTCTTCTAGCCTAATATTTAAAACTGTATTTTGCTCTTAAAAATTTATTAACTTCATTTACTCAAAAGGAGACTCCACTTTGGAAAAAGTCAAGGATCCTTTGTCTTATCTGTTTCCTGCAATGATTTAATGAGGGATAAAAATAGACAAGAATGATCAGATCTTCTCCTGGTATAAATTGTTAGCTGCAGACCTTGGATCATAAATATCTTCCTCTTTTATATTATTATTAATGATAATTACAAAGGACCCTCTAAGAAGTTACTTCTTAAAGAAGTATCAGCCATGATCTTGTGGTTCAGCCCGCACCAAGCTTTGTATTTAAAATGTACATTCAGCTATTTAGTTACATACAGTGAATTCAGTATATTTCTCCCCAAATCATAATATTATTTCTTGAATACAGATTTTTTAGTAGTGCATATTCATACCCAAAGGACTTACATTTCGGAAGTCTTCTCAGGCCTGCTGTTTCAAGTAGGAACGTGGTTGAATTCCATTTGTGTTCAGCATCAGTTGTAATCCAGTGATAATTCACCATGTGCCGAAAACAAAGAAAAGACTTATAGCTTGGAAAAATGATATTCTTCTCCTTGTATATTTGATATTAAAATAAGTGTTTTCCTAGTTATACTGAAGAGCTCTTACTCAATCTGCATTTCTCTGTGTGCTTCCCCCATCAGTACTGGAATTTAACCATCAGAATTGGAGAGGGACAAATTTCAATTAGTCTGGCCCTTGTTATGAGAGCTATCGGGGATCTTTCCTGAACAGCCACAGCTCAGCACTGGCCTAATTCCAGCACTGCTTCTTATGCTTTTTCTTTTGCTTGGTCTGCTCTTTCCCTTAATCTCATTCCCCATTTTTCCATGCTCTTTTTTTTTTGTCATTTTCCCCCTCAGGATTTGCATCACTTTATATCCTCTCTTTCTCCTTCTCTTTCCTCCTGGATCCAGTATCAAGCCTTCAAACCTCAGCTTTTTTTTTTTTCCTTTTTTTTTTTTTTTTACCTCTTCCCTTCTATTTTTCTTTTCTCTTCAAGTTTTCCCCTTTGATGAAGGCCCCTCTAGCTCTATCAATCAGCGTTTAAAAAGGAAACTCCATCAAATTTCCTCTCTGTACAAACTGAGACTTCCTTTAAAGAGACCATTTTTTATTGCAACTCAAAAAATGTTCCCACTGATACTACAACTTCACTCAACTCAAGGTCATAAAAAGTAGCTTATATATTTTAGTAGCCCAGTGATTTTAAGTGTTTATTCTCAACAGATGTGAACCTGTATTAAAATTTCTATCACATGCTAGAAATTACAGGTCTTGTTCCAAAAAAATTATTAATCAAACAACTTCATGACACTGTCATTCCAGGAAAAGAGTATTTCTAGGTATTGTATCTGAGCCCCAGACAAGCAACATTTGAAGCATCTTTCATCCCAAGTGTTCTTTTTTATCCTTATGGAGATAT